GTAAATGTTGCCGTATATAGTTGGCCTCCGAGGTGTTGGAAAGAGGCGGTCTAGCGGAAAGCAGGTGTGTAGTCGGGGAGGGTGCACAGCTGATTAAAGCAGGTGAGTGGAGGTTGAGCCGGGAGCCAGGAGTGACAGCCACCACGCACACACAAACAACACAGACAGGGGGAAACAAACAAACACAAAGGAGACGGCTGGAGCAGGACAGCCACCACAGCGTTACCCAATGTAACTCTACACTACGTCTTACGGTGCCGTGTACCGGAGGGGAGAGAGAGAGAGCAGCGAAGGGGTGGGGAGAGAGAAGTAATACGGTTTCCTGATAAAGCTGTGAAGAGTATGTGCTGCAGGGAGGTGGATGCACAACGCACCCAGGAACGAACGCTAGCTCCGGTCCTTTTTACTGTGGACTCGATGTCCTGACAGGCTGGTATTTGTGCAACCTGCAGAAACACAATACTGCACCATGATTACAAATGGTGAAATACAATGTAAAACTACCGAAAAATACCAGCTCACTAAAACTCAACCGCTCAACTCAACGCAACTACTTACTATACCCGCGGTCAGAGAGCGGAGATGTTTACCCTTTGTTATGTAATATGACGCGTTTGACGTATGACCTTAAAAAAAAGCCGTTTTTAAGAGCAGAGCTCAAAATTGCTCCTTTCCCTCTGAATTCCTGCCCTTATGTCTCGTAAAACATATCAAATCCTACATTCATTTTTTTAATTATAATTTTCAAGCAAGTCTAAGCATAGATGCTCTTTAAGTTGGACATTTTAACATAGGGTCTACGGGAATTGTTCCCATCTGCATCCATCGCCAACAGTTTGCAGCATTGGGCTTCACCGCACTGTCGGGGTTCGCCGCTTGGCTCTGATAGGCCACAAGTCGGTTTGATTGCATTCAGGCTCGATTGCTTATCCTGTCTGAGTAGCCCGGATGATGCTGCATCGCAATTTTTGATGTCGAATTTTATACACCGAATTTTTTTACATCGAATTTTAAACACCGAAATATTTGACGTAAAAAAAATTTCACTTTAATTTTTGGGATCTGAATTTGAACATTCCAATTTTTTTAACTGGAATTTTTACATTTTTTATTTCACATAGGTACATTCGGAGCAAAAAAAATTCAGATACATGATTTTCAAAGTAATTATTTTCAATGCTATAAATTCGGTGTCTGATCAAATTAAAATACTTCTGTGTCTTGTTTGCTTCCATAGTGTTACGTTATTATGAGAGAAACTGTCCCTGCTATTAGGCTACTAGCTTGCATTGTTATGGATCTAAAGTTAGCAAAAGCTAACTTTTATAGCACAGCTTTTCTTTACTTCTCACTTAACACAATAAAGAAACAGACCATATAGTACAGCACAAACAACACAAATGATCAATACTTGCATATAACTGAGTAGCCAATGGAGACGCACCCCTGAAAGTCCCGCCCACCTGGGACGTTTGTGTCAGAATCTCAAACAAAAAGGTGAAGGAGCGCAAATGAGAGTGCTGCAGCGAGAGCAAAAGTCTGATCATTGAGAAAGAATAAACAAGAACTGCAAACAAAAACCTATGTTAAAACAAAGAAAAAAGTCTTATAGTTTACAATGATTACACAAATGATTTGTTTGAAACTTATAGTTTTATTTTTGAAATGTATTTTATTTTGTTTGACTCAGTTTTTTTCTTCTTTTAAACTCATAGTTTTGCTTTATTCTGAGAAAGTGTTGTTTTTATCTTTATGATACAAAACTAATCCCATATATATCCGGGTGCTAGTGGAGCACGCTCGTGAACTGTTAGCGCAGGAGCCTCGCAGCGTGGAAATGATTTTACAACTAAAGACACAGCTACACAAAAAACGCAGCATGTTTACGGCTCATGTGTGCGGTTCTGAGAATCTGCCTTTCTACAAAGTAGCAGTGAAAGCATGGTACGGAATTTCATTGATTTGGGCATTCTCAAAATAAGCAAGTGGAATGGATTTGATAATGAAGCACTGACACAGCGCTCTACAAAAAGAGGCGAGTGGATAGACCTATGCACGGACTTTCCACATGCCATGGTAAAAGTGGCGGGGGGTCTAAACTAATCATTTTAAAAGGTGGGGGGGGGGACTTGTCCCACCCTCATATAATGGCTGCGACGCCCATGGGCAGCATAGACAGACAGGTATTTTCTAGAGTTGTAATCGCTACAGGGTGTACTTTGAGGATTTGTGACTTTGCAGACCGTTTACATGCATAAAAACCTTCATAACACACAAGGGGACGGGTAATAACCGGAAAAGCATGACATGGGACCTTTAATGCATAATAATTGTATTCTCCAAAATCCCTATAAACAAAGCATTATGGACGTAAAACTGGCTGACGTCGAAAACTTGGATAGCTGCAGAGTTAAAGGTCCGTTTTTGTTATAGCATTAAAAGAAAGAAACACATTTGTCCCTCTTTGTCAGTGAACAGACAGAATGGAGGACTAGGTTTGAATATCCCGCCCTGCCTTGCGACTCTCCCGAGCTCCAGGAGGCGGAGGCTCTCATTAACGCTCTCCGGTCCGGCGCGGAAGGTTGTGTATCCTTGAGCTCCAGTGACAAGATTTAGGAGGAACAACATTTAAAAGCAACTTTGGTGTAAACTACCAAGCTTTATCTTGCAACTAGTAGCCGAAAGAGGAGAACCGTGTCCCCGAATCCAGCGTTTTATCCAGGTTTTCCTTTCTTTCACGGAGATGTATCGCTGCTTGGAGAACTACTAGCGAGCATCGCTGCACACCGAAGCCAGGATGAGTGGCAGCTTCCCGGTGTCCGGCTCGGCGCCCTGCCGCTTCGCACACTACTTTGTTGTTTGTGGGATAGACACAGAAACTGGGCTGGAACCGGACGAACTAGCAGGTATGAGGTCTCCGTTCTGTGTCATGTTGTTTATGGGAAAAAACATTCACAACTCAGCTCGGCACATTTCATAAACATTGTTGACTAAAAATATCCCTTCACCGCTTAAAACATGTATTTTATTCAGTGCAAAGCTACACTATGATATCAAGGACACCAAGCTCTGTAACCTAAACTGACAAAGTTGTAAGTCATCACCTTAAGTAGCACACTATAAACCCTCAAATACCCAGTTAATGGCTCATGGTTTACAGTTGCTGTGTAGCAAAGCTCTGCACATAATGAAAGGATGAAGACTGAGAGGTCCAAGCATATTTTCTAAAGTTTATCATCTGATTCAAGCTTTCTGTGCCTTGCGTTATTGCTCTAAACAGGTCAAAGTCAAACTAATGTTCATAACTGTAGACTACTGTAGTTTATATTGATTGTATTTACCCAAAGAATGTCAATTTGATATTATCTTGGGTCAGATGTATTGTTTCCTGAAGAAAAATGTGGAAATAAACTCTACAAATCCTTATTTTGTCATGATAAGGTTTTCCTTTCATTCGTTTTTACTTGTTTATTTGACTTTTCTGATGAAACAAGCGAAAGCTGAGTTGCATAAAGGCTGCCACAAGTGTGGTTA